ATGAGAGACGCCGTAGTGGAGGGCTCTGGAAATTTCGACCACCTGGGGTTCTTTAACGTGCACCCCAATCTGAGCACACGGGCCTCCAACATTTCCGCCTCCATCGGAAATGCAGCCGCCGCAGCCGGGAATTGAACCCACGACCTGCGGGTCAGCAGTCGAGTACCTTAGCCACTAGACCACCGCGGCGGGGCCGCAGAAGTTGAGAAAGGGACTGAGCCGCTCCCGATGCGCGCGAGATAACATCAACCTTTATTCCATGCAACCAGCATGCATATATAGCAGACAACTGCCTTCACGTACAAGCAACACTTCACAATTGTGGGCAACAGCGCCAGATACCGTGGACACTTCACGTGCATAGGCGCAATCACTAAAGTCTTATTATTAGTCTGCAGAAAACGAAACTAATGCGCGACAACCTCGGAAAAGAACAGCGCTTCGAGATAGGTAGCAGTACACTGCAAGCTTTGAGGAATCACGTCTATTGGAACAGCTTGTCACCACGGAGCCGAATCACGACAATGATGATTGAAGTGACTAGAAAAATATGAACGGCATGTTGGAAAGCATTCTCAAATTTGACTGGTAGATTGGCTTTATTCCTCAAGATATATATATATATATATATATATATATATATATATATATATATATATAGGCAGGCATGGTGGCGAAAATGGCCGTAGCGTTGCAATAAGTCAAGTAGATCCTCCAAGAGAACGGTAACAACGGAAGTGTTTAATTCGACAGTTTCGGCCAGAGTCTGGCCTTCATCAGGAGTCATGGTACATTCTGTTTGCGCTCACATTTATAGTATTTTGGGTAAAAAATGAGAGGGAAGGAACGAAAAAAAAAAAAAAACAGAAAGAAAGAAAGAGTTTGAAAAACGAGAGAGGAAAGGATATCCAGAAAGTTCCAGGTTCCACTGTGCTTCGCGAGTGGCGTCGTCAGTGTGTATTTTCTTAGTATTGCGTTCAGTGCAGTTTGGTGGCGGTCCCTTTATTGTAGACGGGGCCTGGCTAAGGTAAGGGCTTGCGTGTCGCGAAAAATGCTTTTTTTATTATTATTTTTTATTTTTTATTTTTTAAAGACCGTCACTAATTCGGCGTCGGGGACAGCGTTCTGAGGCTCCAGGAAGTCGGCGCGGGAGAAAATGTTTCTTAAGGCGCTGTCTGTCGTTTTGAATGCTATTTTGCTCTGCGAATCCGCGTTTGGGGGTTTTAATTGTGTATGGGGTGGCCCTTCTATATGTCGGGCTTTGTTGTCGAAATGCGGGAAGGGTTTCCAAACTGCGAGAAAGGACGTTTGAAGTGATTGCTATTTTGTACTGGGAAACCGCGTTCGGGGCGTTTAGTTGTGTATGTGGATGTCGGGCTTTGTTGCCAAAATCGGGGAAGGGTTGCCAAAAGGCGAGAAGGGGCGTTTGAAGTGATTGCATTTTGTTCTGGGAATCCACGTTCTGGGACAACTTCGCTAGAAAATTGAGGCTGCACGAATATTTCTTGGACAAGCCGTCTAACATTCCAAAGACTCCCCGCCACCAAACAAGCGATTGGACACCAAATAGTCATCGAGACAAGTGTCTGGACTTATATATTAACGCGGTCCAGAAAGATATATTACAGGAGTATCACAGACAGAAGGGAAAGCGGGAAAACATGACAAAATCCGAGAAAAAGAGTATGCAAAACCTAACATCTAGGACTGATATAATAATAAAGCCCGCTGACAAAGGAGGGGCAATTGTAGTCCTAAATACAACCGACTACCTACAAGAAGCATACCGTCAACTAAACGACTTAAAATTCTACGAACGCCTCCCAGGGGACCCGACAGAGAAATACACGCGTATTGTAGCAACAGAACTGAAGAAGCTGTTGGACGAGGGAAGAATAACACGCAGTGAGCACAAATTAATGCGGCCAGTACACCCTCGTCCAGGGCGCTTCTACATACTCCCAAAAATTCATAAACCCGGTAATCCAGGCCGACCAATCATTTCAGGTATAGGCACAGTAACCGAGCCCATATCAGGGTACGTAGACAAATTAATAGGCCACATTCCGTGCACTCTCGGGTCGTACGTAAAAGACACCTCACATTTTCTTCGAGATATTGCAGACCTGCGCATTCCGAAACACTCATACTTAGTTACCCTTGATGTGTCTTCACTTTATACAAATATTCCCCACGATGATGGCATAGCGGCATTAAAAAACACATACACAAACCATAGACAACCTGACACCCCAGATTTCTCTGCCATCGCAAGCCTCACAAGACTTGTATTAGAACTGAACTCATTCGAGTTCAACCAAGAGTACTTTCGACAAATCAGCGGCACCACCATGGGTACCAAACTCGCACCAAACTATGCTAACATTTTTATGGGAGAACTAGAAACCGAATTTTTGTCCCAAACTCCCTTGAAACCACTCCTATACAGGCGGTACATTGACGATATTTTTCTTATTTGGACTCACAGCGAGGATGAACTGCTAAACTTTATCGATACTTACAATACTGTGCATCCAAACATACACTTCACACACACCTACTCACAAGTAACCGTAAATTTCCTTGACGTTACCATAATAATAGAAGATGATAAACTTTCCACAACCCTCTACCGCAAACCAACAGATCGACAACAGTACCTCCATTACCAAAGTGATCATCCACGCCATTGTAAAAACAGCATTCCATACGGCCAGGCCCACCGTTTTAAGCGAATTTGCTCAAAAGACACTGACTTCCACGCGAGCTCACAAAAGCTTAAACTCGTGCTCGAAAAACAGAAATATCCTCCACATGTAATTGATGACGCTATTCAAAAAGCTAGAAAACTTCAGCGTGATGACCTTCTGATGAAGCGGCCACCACAACACAACCTGCAACAGACACACCTATGTTTAACATACAGCACGAATTTCCCCAACGTTAACAAAATCCTTAAACGACATTACAACATACTGGAACAAAGTGAACGTCTAAAACGTGCATTCCCATCGGCTCCTGGCGTCGTTTACCGACGAACACGCAACCTCAAAGACACACTTGTAAACTCCCAAATCAATACTTCAACTTCCGACAGTTCATGCCGACCTTGTCTGAAGCCTCGATGTTTTGTATGCAAAGCGATGCGAGATACAAGCAAGGCAAGCAGCACACAATCCAACTTTTCAATTAACATACGAGGAAATCTAACATGCGATTCCCCTAATGTGGTATATCTACTTGAATGCAACGTGTGCGGCATGCAATACATCGGACAAACGGAAACACCCTTTAGGATTCGTTTCAATAATCACAGAGCCCACGCGAAATCAGCGCCGAATCTACCTCTATCAAAACACCTTAACCTTCCCGGCCACTCCTTCGACAAATTGTCAGTCACACTTTTAGAAACAGGATTTAAATCAAACCGGGAACGTGAACAACGTGAATCATACCTCATACACCGATTTAACACCCTCGAAAAAGGCATAAATGAAAGTCCGGGTACACTTGCAGCAATCAAAGCACTATAATATATACATATGCATTTATATGTGTATATGTACTTATGCATATGCGCATATGTATGGGGGTGTATGTGTGTATATGTAAGTTTATAATTGTAATCATAACAGTTCAAGATTTCGCGGCACTGTGGCGGCGACGAGGACTGGACAACTACAAATATCTTTGCGTGTTTCAGTGAACCACTGTCGTCTATTTCTATTTCTCTGAATAACCGAACAATAGTTGTAAGCCCGATTTGTCGAAGGGTCACCGCATGCACAACTAAAAGCCCCGAACGTGGATTCCCAGAACAAAATGCAATCACTTCAAACGCCCCTTCTCGCCTTTTGGCAACCCTTCCCCGATTTTGGCAACAAAGCCCGACATCCACATACACAACTAAACGCCCCGAACGCGGTTTCCCAGTACAAAATAGCAATCACTTCAAACGTCCTTTCTCGCAGTTTGGAAACCCTTCCCGCATTTCGACAACAAAGCCCGACATATAGAAGGGCCACCCCATACACAATTAAAACCCCCAAACGCGGATTCGCAGAGCAAAATAGCATTCAAAACGACAGACAGCGCCTTAAGAAACATTTTCTCCCGCGCCGACTTCCTGGAGCCTCGGAACGCTGTCCCCGACGCCGAATTAGTGACGGTCTTTAAAAAATAAAAAATAAAAAATAATAATAAAAAAAGCATTTTTCGCGACACGCAAGCCCTTACCTTAGCCAGGCCCCGTCTACAATAAAGGGACCGCCACCAAACTGCACTGAACGCAATACTAAGAAAATACACACTGACGACGCCACTCGCGAAGCACAGTGGAACCTGGAACTTTCTGGATATCCTTTCCTCTCTCGTTTTTCAAACTCTTTCTTTCTTTCTGTTTTTTTTTTTTTTTTTTTTTTTTTTTTTTTCGTTCCTTCCCTCTCATTTTTTACCCAAAATACTATAAATGTGAGCGCAAACAGAATGTACCATGACTCCTGATGAAGGCCAGACTCTGGCCGAAACTGTCGAATTAAACACTTCCGTTGTTACCGTTCTCTTGGAGGATCTACTTGACTTATATATATATATATATATATATATATATATATATATATATATACTGCTGAATCTCTTCAGTGCTTACCTACTTGAGTTGAGGACGACGCCGTGGCCAATGAAAAGGAAGATCATATGTGTAATCCGAAGGTATAAGAACAGAGCAGAGCACACTTATGCAGGGTGTACTGACCGGATAACAGTGATGTACTGACTAGATTTTGTATTTGTTGCATAGAACTTCGCATCGCGCAATCGAAATATCCAGTGAATATTGAGGTATTTTAAGTGAATAAACTTCACTTGATTATCAGGTGAAATGGTTGTTAGGTAGTTTAGATACGATAAACGCAATTCACTTGCTCATTCATTTGAATCCCATGCTGTGTCTACTCGGTAAGTTGCGTGCTATGTGAAAAAAAAGTACAAGCAAGACATACTGGCCTCATTGATCCGATGCTTGAGACGTTGACTATATTTCCTGGAAAGAAAAAAAACAAGATGAACAAATAAACTGAGGCATAAATATCAAAATAGCAACTAGACATTCCTATTTTGAAACTACCAGGATGTGCCGCATATACTGATTATTTACAAAACTGCAGTTTCACCCCATTGTAAAGCACTGAGTGTGACAGTAACAAACTTTGATGTTCTACGAAGCGAGGCTGGCAGCTAAATCTCGTACAACTGGTCTCACGCAACTCCACAAAACACTGGTGCAAGAGAATACGTCCGCTCCACAAACACTTTTCGCACAGTCTCCTCACGCTGAGAGCGCAGCACGCAGAAAGTAGAGTACCTCAATGCGCGGAGGCGAAAAAGCGCATGGAGGCACTTTTGTATAAAGGCACACGATCTGCCCGGTGGTGGCAGCCTTGCAAGATTACGAGATGGCGCACGTACCTGCGATTACCACCGCACCCGTAAAATCAGTTCACAGTTGCTGCTTGAGCAACAACTCCTCTCTCGTCTTTTCAGGCTCGTTAAAGGTGCCCTGCTACGTTTTTTGAGCATGGTGAGAAAACGTTAGCTTTAGGTTATACAGGCTTTTGAGAACACGCGAGCCAAGTAATATAACCCAGCGTGTGGCTTAAATTCACTACAAATGACCAAAAACAGCTAAATCTCATTGCTCCCGCCTTCATCATCGACGGAAGGTGGGAAGGAACAAAGGTTACTCTCCTATTCCCTCACTTTGCCAGAACAAATCTACTGGACTTTAAATATAGTTTATTCGTTCATTCTCGTCTCTCGACAAGTTATGAAAGAAGCTCAAAAATAACTCATAAAAGCCCTTCTATCAGCAATTAGATAAATTGAACATGGCGCGCTCGATCGTTAGAAGGATCGCTATGGGAGGCCACGACCTGTCCATGCGTGCGTGCTCAATAAGACTGAAAAGGCAATGACTATGATGACAGGCCCCGTTAGCGCAGTACTACCGTTACAGTGAGGGGGCCGTCCACGTAGCGTCATCGTACCTACAGTGACAGCGCCCGCTAGTGCACTATTACTGTTGAACTGAGGGGTCTGTCAGCGTAGTATAATCGTGACTACAGTGGTAGGGCCCGCCAGCGTGGTGCTATCGTTAAAGTGAGGGGGTCCGTCATAATAGCGATGCATCTATGACGACAAGCCCCTTCACCGTGAAGCAATCACTACGGTGAATGGTGCCCGTCACCATAGCGTAGTGGTAAAAATGAGGGGGCCTGTTGCCGTAAGTTTGTAGTCGTTTTAGACGCCACCATCTATAAGTTGTGATGGCGTAGTGGACACTGCCTCTGGGCACGGAGGTGTTTGGACGCAAGATATTCAGCTCTCTGAGAGCGGGTTCAGCAGCCGCGTCTTGTGGCACCATGCTTGCTCATGCCCCAACGGGATATCAGTACGTGATACCGACTGTGCCATCAGGTGAAACTATGAAACACTATTTGTTACTGCACTGTGACGCACTGGAAGGCCATGCTGTCTTGAAGATTTCCCCAAGCCGCTGCAAAAAGTTTGTTGACCTCAAACACGTGACCGGTATCGGATCTTTCTAAATGAAGAAAGTGTGGCTGATGAAGCTACGAACACGTGAAACGAAGGAAGTGAATGGTGACCGCGGGTGGCCGGAAGGTGAAAGGAAGATTTTGCGCTGTCATAGATCCCGTACAGGAAGATATAACATTGAAAGTGCACTCGGTACCATTTCACTTGACAGGGGAGGCATTAAAGAAGGCTTTTGACCGCTATGGGGAAGTGAAAGAAAGACGTCAAAAGGAATGGAAGCTACGAGATTTTGAGCAGGCCGAGTCTACCACACGAATTGTGTGGAAGACGCTCCAAGGGCACTTAGCACCGCACTCGTCACACCACTTTTCCAGGGTTTTGGTGGCTTAAAACTTGTTGTAGTTCGCCGAAGAGCTCCAATTCGCCTTCGGTGCGAATGTATAGGGCATACTCGACGAGACTAGAGCTCCGAGGTGTGCTCAATGTCGAGAACGCGGTCATGAAGCACAAAATTGCGTACACACACACATAAGAGTAGTTGGCAGTAGCCAGTCTGAAGAAGAGGGCCTTGAACTGCTTGAGGAAGGGGTAGCAGATAATCTGCCAGCGTCCCCAGAAAGCCAGACAGAAGAGAGGTCGACTGAAGTGGAAAATGCGGTACGCCAGCTGCGTCGACACAGGAGCAAGCAGGAAAACAGAAGATTGAAGTAAAAAGAAAGGACATCTCTTGCACCTACAGTATTGTACCAAGGGCGCGACGCGCTGTGCGACGATTTCAATGTGGGAATGAAGACATTCAAGACACCTAATAAGACGGCTACCGGGGTGCCAGCTATGCCTTCCAAGTGGTGCTGAAGGGCAGGCACCACCGTGGATGCTACTGTTGGGGAGACGCTGGCGGTCAGAGACAGAGGTCGCTATTTTTTCCGGCCTCCCATCGCGGGTGCATGACTTAGCGCCTTTAGGAATGGGGATGGGGAAAGTAAAGAGGATAGGAAGGAGAGAGAAGAGAAAAAAGTGAAACGCACGGAAAGAGGACGTCTTTCTCAGTACACTCAGTAGAACAAATCTAAAGCGTTCGTCTATAAGATGGCGAGGTCCACAGACGTAAAGAACTTGAGGAAGGATAAGAGGCCTTGTGCCTTCAAGGGCGCGGGGAAAAGGAGGTTTTCCACCGTTGTCTCAGGCAGGCCGCGTGGACGATGACGGCTCTTGAGCACGCAACGCTCTTTGCCCAGGTCAGGCCAGGAGCATATATTATGCTGGAGCGTTTCGTCATTACCGCATCTTCGGAACGCGCGCGATTAGGAGTGACCCGCGGAACACATGTGTGCCGCAGACCAGACACTAGCGGTACGTAGGCGAACCAACAACCGTTACTCGCCCTGTCCAAGCCGGTCGGTCTCTGGAAGGGATGGCATAAATTGGCCGCTTCACATCCGCGTGTTAGGGTGGGGCGCTGGTATGGTAGCGTCCACTGTTGTTGCCGGGAGTTATTCGACTGGGGTAACCTGAGTGACTGGCGTGTCGCAGCGGTATGCTGCCTTAGCGGCGGTGCCAGCGTTCTCGTTGCCAGCTGTCTCAACGTGTGAGGGAAGCCAGTGGAGGGACAGGCGCACACCGCTATTTTTGATGGCGGTCAGTTTAGCGTGCAGCAACGCCGCAGTGATGCCTGCTTGGTCTGGTTGGAGCAGCGCTTGTAGGGCTGGTCAGGAGTCGGAGAGAGTCGCCACGGACAGCTGGGGTAACGTGGCAGCGAGGTGGATTGCTGCTAAATGAAGGCTTGTCACTTCAGCTGCAGTACAGCTGGCGTGGAAGGGAAGTCGGCACCGCCAGTTTTCCCAGCCGTTTTCCCAGCCGCGGCAGTGTGTGTCCCGAAGGAACCCGGGCGTGAACACCAAGAGGTGCCCCCTAGCCTGTCATATAGTTTCGCCACGTCTGCCTAGTGGAGCTCGTACCGGAGTCCACCTTTTGCTCAGGTTCATCATCATCATCATCAACATCAGGCTGATTACATACACTGCAGCGCAAAGGCCTCTCCCATGTTCCACCTGTCAACTCGGTACTGTGCTTGCTACTGCCAATTTGTACACGCAAGCTTCTTAATCTCATCTGCCAACCTAACCTTCTGTCTCCCCTAACCTGCTCGCCTTCTCTGGGAATCCAGTTAGTTATCCTTAATGACCAGCGGTTATCCTGTCTACGTGCTACATGCCCAGCCCATGTCCATTTCCTCTTCTTGATTTTACCTGATTTTTTAAATCTCGGCTCTTTTCCTAATTCACTCAGCTTTCTCCGTGTCTGTAAAGGTTACACCTATTATTTTTCCTTCCAGTGCTCGCTGCGCCGTCCTCAATTTAAGCTGAGAGCTCTGTGTAAGTCTCCAGGTTTCTGCTCCGTAGCTAAGTACCGGTGAGCTGCACATGTTACATACCTTCCTCTTGAGGGATAGTGGCAATATACCTGTCATAATTTGAGATTGCTTGCGAAATGTGCTCCACTCCTTTATTCTAGCTAATTCGATCTCGTGGTTTGGCTTCGCGGTTATTACCTGTGCTAAGTTGACTTATCCTTTACAACTTTAAGTGCACTACTACCTATCTCGAAGCGTTGCTCTCTTATGAGGCCGCTTTACTTCATCAAGGTGTTGAGGCATAGTGCAGGATGTGGAAGTGCTTCACAAGGTTTGATGCAGTGACCATAGACTGGTATGGTATTCAATTCGCCAAGACTTGAAGAAAGAACTACAGAAACTGATACGCAAGATGCCAATCAATGAGCTAGCACTGAGAGGGAAAGTACAGGAATTCTAAGTCTCACTTCAGAACAGGTGCTTGGCTCTCATCGATGAAGCCAATCTCAGCCTTGACGAAATGAATGATAATCTGACGAGTAATATTACGGAGTTCAGTGGAAGTTGTAGGTACGGTAGTTGGACAGCATATGGATAAAGCTCCCAAGGAAACGAAGAATTTTATTAAGCGTCAAAGCATGAAAACCTCAAGTACAACGAACAAAATAGATTTAGTAGAGCTTTCGAAGTTGATTAATAAGCGTCATGTAGCCGATGTAAGAAGGTATAAAATGGAGAGAACTGAACACGCTCTGAATAATGAAGGAAGCGTCAATGCAGTGAAGAGGAAACTTGGGATAGGCAAATATTGGATGTATGCACTAAGGGACAATGAAGGCAGAATAACTACCAATACGAATATGATAGGTAACATACCGGAGGAGGTGTACAGAAATCTGTGTTGTAGCCGGGACAACCACGACCTTTATATAAGAACTAGCAGTAAACCAGATGACACCCCCCCCCCCAGCAATGATTGAAGAAGTCAGAAAAGCCTTGGAGAGCATGCGAAAAGGCAAAGCTGCTGGTGAGGATCAGGTAACATCAGATCTGCTGAAAGATTGAGGACAAATTCTGTTAGAAAAACTAGCCACCCTGTCTACGAGGTGTCTCCTAACAGGAAGAGTACCCCA